ATTTTGTTTATTCCTGTTTCAGTATCCGTTGAGTTTTTTTTTAATAAGGGATACCATTTCTAAATCAAAATTTTAAATGTTTTTACATCCACGGTGACTGATAAAGAAATGAAAAATTACATAGCAAGTGGAAATACATTTCGGTAAGTAAAGCAAGCGATGGTGGTAGTGGATGGTCCATTAGCTTTGTACTCTGCCAAACTAGATGGAAAGATAGGTGGTTTCTTGTTGCCGATTTAACCTGACTGGTATTGATGTATTTGATTTCCCTTCTCCAGGGAGTATAGTTTCGAACTCCGCTGTTATGTAACATCTTTTACAAAATTACCTGTGGTGGCCTAGAAACAATTGAGTGAAGGCGAGTGTTCCTTTCCTTCCAAAGATGGTTAAAGAGCTGCATGGAATATTAATTGTAGCACAATCTTCAGTTTTCCTTTAAACTGAGAAGAAGTAATCCAAGTCACAATCTGATGAAGCCTAAACGGAGTTTGCAGCTAGCCTTGACCTCATCAATAATCCGTTCCAGACAGAGAAGGTGTAACTACATTCAAATAAGATGTGGGCAGTTCATCCCTAACGCCATAGAGCAAACAGATTGGAGAGACATCCAAGATAGCAACCTGTCACGTGTCATCATCTCATGACAAGTCAATGTTATGAAAGCATGTTTTGGGATTTGGTTTGTAAACCAGATAGCATTGTGCCATGTTACAGTAGGAGGATCCGGATATAAAGAACTGCAAAGCTTGTAAAGAGAGAAAGCCTAAGGTTTGTTAGCCAAAGAGTTTCTCCACAATAAATAATCTTCATCAGTAGTGGTGGAGTCAGACGCTTGAAGAGGAAGAGCACCATGGATGGGTCGCAAGATAGAGTACTCTACTCCTAGAAGATATATTCCAAACTGCATCAATTACTACGGAAGATACAGAGGCATCAAAAGGAGTACCTGAAACTCGAGGACCAGAGGCGGTCCTAGAAATTACAGGGCTAGAAGCAAAAATTAAAAAAGTGGCTGCGGTTGAGCAGACTCAAAACCAGGTTCATCCTCTCCATTTCCATGAACACAAGATTACACCACTGAACTATAGTACCAATTTGAAAATTGTGGCCGAAACTTAATGATAAATCTGTCGGCCAGAAGCCCATGTTTCATTGGCTTGGTCCAAGGGCGGCTCTGTCGAGGACCCTTCGGCCCAGTGATACTGAGAACTGGACCATTTTTGTCCAATCATATCATGCCAGAATGAGACGTTCCTGCCAGTAACATGACAAAGATGAAGACTCTTAATGGCTGCGGTTAGTTTCTACATCTGTCGTTTAATAGGAACGAAGTCTAATACTATTAAACAATTATTGTCACAGATGTAATGAGATACGACTATATGTTACTATTAAAAGTATAAATATTCGAGACATCAAGATCCTTATGCTCTGATTTTTTTTTTGAAAAAAAATAATATTTGATATCATAAAATGTTTTGATTTTTATTTTCACAGCAAAAAAATATAGACGACGAAAAAAAACGAGAACTGTTTATTCCAAACTTTATATGATTTACAAAGAATGAACAAGAATATGGAGCTCATATCACTTCTTGAAAGTAAACTCCGACAAATCAATCTTCACATCCTCAGTAATCTCTTTCTCTTCTGTAACCGGACTAGCTACATCAGCATGAGGTTGCCGAACACTGCCGTTATCAAAATCTGTCATCTCAAAGTGACGAGAGGCATTTTGAGATTCAGGATCAAAGAAATGCTGAGGGCCAAGGCCGTGTCTGCCAGAATCAGAGAATCTAGGGGAAGGAGGTGCAGTGAAGCTGGTTAGGTGATCAAGGCTGCGGTTACGACTGTGGATGAGACGATCAAGGCTGCCGTTACGTGTTGGCGTGGTGGGGCGGGTCGAGCGTGGTGTTACGGACCCTGAGTTTCCATGTTTAGACTGTTTCTTGGCCTTGTTGTGCCATTTTTTCAATGCATTGGCTACCTTGTCGTTGAATATGGTCGGCCTCATTGTAGTTCCCATCTACAATCACAATTTAGTGTTAGAGAATCTAATAATGAAACTATATACAAGACATGCATCAATCTAATGCATTGTCATTTGATTTTGACTTTAAAAAAAATATCTAAACATTGTTGACATGATATCATAATTAAAATTTATACATATTATGCATGTTAGATGCTTCGATTCTTTTTTTTTATTTTGTTAACAGTGGAAGTTATGGCTTTAAGCTCATAATCTCCTCCAGTCCCTTAGAATGCTTTCAGATATTTCAATCCAAAATACAATCCTCGGTCCCATAAGGTGGTTTGAGTCCGGGGAACAAGGAAACTAACCGATTAGTCAGTGCATTATTAAATAATTAGTTTTGATCGTATCAAACACGACGTTTACCAATTTGGATTATATACCTGAGTCACAAGAGCATAGAGAGGTAGAGTGATGTAGCTGCATACAACTTGTATCAACACCCTGTCGTATACAACAAGAAGAAGTTTAGTGTAAAGATACAAAACATACTTAATATATATTTTTACGTATTAGTTGAGGAGATTATAAACCCCATGATGATCCTGATTGCAATATCTTCGGTTTTGTGGTGGAAGCAGTTCTTGAGTGTGAACTCGTACTGTAAAAATCAATACCAAAACCATACTCAATTAATTAATGAACAACCTTTTTAAATGGTATTTTTCAGAAGAATTTGATTGTTACTCACGGTGCTCCAAACGAAGAAAGCCAGTTGAAATGCATTCTGTAGGAATATACAAAAACTATATTATTTAGAAAAACGATAACTCAAAAATACATAAAAACACATATGAATAATTAAATTAGTTATACCGTGAAAAGAACCAAGTGAATGAGGAAGAGAATGAAACGAGGACGACCAAACCAAAAGAGACCATCACCCGGTTCAACCACAGGAGCTCCTCTAACCACATCTCCTTTATCTTGAATTCCCAATCCTAATTTCGATATTATCACTTGAAGTTTTGCTCCAACTATTAATATCACCTTCAATTTATTAAACATACCAAAACCTCATTAATATTATTATATCACGACTGCATAACAAAACCAAATGAAAAGTTTGAAGTAATGTGTACTTGCAATAACTTACAAGCAAAGGGAGGAAAGGCAGCCACAAATAGGAACCCCATCCTATTAAAATTTGTAAAAAAAAAACTCAAGTTTGTAGCAATTTAATGTATAATTTGCTTAATTACTTAATATGAAATTATAAAGAATTAGAACTAACCATGTGTATTAGTCAATATGTATAAGACAGCAATGCACCATATCACTGGGCTGGAGTTTACATATTTAATCAGAAATTTTAATATTATGGAAATTTGGATAATTGAAAAAAAAAATATAATGAATTTGATTTAAAATAAGAAAGGGACTAACCTTATACCGACAACAGCTTTGAAATCTTCTTCCAAAGATCTTTTAATGTATTTTTGAAAATCGAAACGAGCTTCACTTCCTGCAGGCAAATGCGCCTGCACCCATCCAATAATTCTTTTTAAAAGTCAAAAATGGTTCTGAAAATGAATAATATGATAGCAAATCTTCTTTGGGTCAAAACTAGTAAAATAATTATTACTTTTAACATTAAGCAATGATTACTTACCATTATAAAGCCATGTCTTAATGTTAGATAATCCACTTTTGTCACTGATCCAAAGAACTGTCTGAAGAAACATGTCTGCATGCCCACGATCTATCCATTATTCTTTGTTGTAATTTAAAACCAAATTAGAGGGAAAAAAATAAAGTAGAATTTCGAAGAATTATATAAACAAAAACTTACAATCCAGAGGGTAAAGGAAGACTTGCTCCACATATTCAAATGTCTACGTCCAAACGATGTATCTCTTGCAAATCTGAACCTTTCTGGATCTACAACATTTAAAACAATCAATTGCATTAAAATAAATTAAAAAGAGGACAGAACATATATACTTACAAAAAGTGATGGTACGGGGTCTTTCGTTAAATTGTTCATTTACAAGTCAAACATAAATCGTGTTCTTATTGGATATTCTACTCATAAGTCTGATTATTAAATTCAGACAAAATATACGAGTGTGAGAGATGTGGATGAATAAACAAATACAAGTGATCATGATGTTAAAGTTGCCAAAGTCAGACGAAGATATGTTATCTGAAGATGCTCATTTTTGTTTTCTTTGATGATTACTGTCAAAACAAACTTTATGGACATGAGACAATGGCCAATATATTTGTGCATACCATTGGCATATTGGTACTCAATTGTTTTAGTCTCTTTCTCCCATGATTTCCATGTCTTCATCTGCATTTTACATCACAAAACTAAACACATGCATATGCACTTGTGAAAAACAAAACGTATAGAATATATCATGTACCTTGGTTTTCCCCAAAGCATAGGTTATAATGCAATAGAGAATATGAAATACAGCGAGCACGAAGATGAATATATGCAATTGGTGGATACCGTATGCAGAGACTAATGCTACTTTCCCCTGAAAATAATAATTCACAACAAAAACAAAAATTAAAACAGTATTTGTTAAGCAAAAAGGAGGAATACTTAAAGAGTTAAAAGTAACGAGTAGCTAAAATATAAAACATGCATTTTCTGCGCATTTGTCATAACCCTTTGCGGCTAAACTTCGACGATGACTATAAAAGTCCTTGGAGTCGTAGTCTTCAAGAATTTTGCGACCATCATCGATATAATCTGAACTATATTTCAATCTCTCTTGTTCGCTACTACAAGGATGCCAAGTCGCAGCAATTCTTTCTGAGATGCAAATTTGGGAGACTGGTGATTGCAGTACAACAAGTAGAAGCGATATGAATCCCAGTAGCATCAATTCTATTTTAAGCACAAAACCAAAAAAGGAGGAAAATTTGTTAGGGATTCAAAGAGAGAAATAATCAATCAGATTGTGATACAAAGCTACATCCAAGGTTATAATAAATAATCCGTGTAGACTAGTAAACTTGCCTGCTTTAACCTTTTCAAGAGCTTCATATAAAGCCTTCTTGTTCTTCCTTTTAAACCACTACAAATATTGAAAAGAGAAATCAAAGACTATGGGAGTTATCGACTAGATTTCGATTTTCTAGTAAAGAAAAAAAAGAGACATAATGTAGCTTTGAAGGCATTATATAGTGAATTATCGTATATTTTCTCATCATTGGAGAAGAGCGAAAGAAGAGAAAGGAAGACTTGAATGATATAAAGATCGAAAAACAAAAGAATAACATACTTACATGACCAATAAAGTGCAAGAAATATTCGATCATGATAGAGATGAAAAGAATAACGAAGCAAACAGCAGCAAGAGCCCATGTTGGTGTCTCTTCCAATGACCTATCTTTTATCGCCATTACTTTCACTTCTCTAAACTTTTAAACTTTCTGATCAGGTTTAAGGGTTTCACAAGAAGTTTTTTAGAATAGGGGAAAAGGAAAAATGAAGTGAATCGGCTTTTGTTCCTTTTATATCCATATATATTATATTATATATACACATGCTAGAATCATACAAGATATACGAGAACTACCCAATAAAAAACCACTTCATATTTTTATGGACAATTCCCGCAAATAGCTATTTTTAAGTTTTTATCACAAAAATAGCTATCAAAAGATAAAATGATCAAAATAATTTTTTTTTATTTTGAAATTTTTAAAATTTAAAATACTATCCTTAAAATTCTATCTTCAGAACCTCACCCATTAAGTTTAAATTAGTTAACCCTAGGGTGTAAATACATATTTACCTTTTACTAAAACTTCTTTTGATCATTTTTCTCTTTGAGTGATTATTTTGTGAAAATAAACTAAAAATGATTATCTAAAAAACTTTCTCTATTTTTGTTTTTTTTTTACCAAAACATGTATATTTATGTACTTTATTCCCGTTATGTATTATTTTTTTGGTACTTATAAATCATATATCTTTCACAATATTCGAGAAATACCCATTAAAGAACCACTTCAATTGCAAAACAAAAACTCGAGTCTAGAGAACAGAAAGACAGAGAAACTAAAATCAAAAGATTCGAAAACATTCATTCTCCACTGAAAGACAAATTAAGAGTGAGTTAATTTTTGTTTTGTAAATGAAGACAGAGTTATTTTGAACTTGATTTCATATATCAGCGACAACTTTTAATGATTGTAGAGGTTTGTGGAAATTATTTTTGCATGGTTGACGTCACATGGGGCAACGAGTAAAAAATGTAGATGGATGCAAAGTCTACATAATCTTTTACAGCACCATTAAGAATTCCCTTGAAGGTACTATCCCACAACCGAACATCCATGATCTTTTAATTGGTTTCCATCGATGCAAAGCTCCTCTTTCCATCGATGCATAGCTCCTCTTTCCATCGATGCATAGCTCCTCGAACTTAAAATCTATTTATGTATTTTCACAGATTTTTGTCGAACCGATTCGATACTAATTGTTGGAGTTGTTTCAAAATCATGTCCAACTCTGCCTTTTATCAATTGGTATGATAATGTTCATTTTAGGCATAAAAATATAAAACCTGCATGGATTTATTTTTATATTCCTTTCCCATATTAATCATAATTTAATTTATATAATATACATTATTTTTCTAAACACTCATTATTAATCATAATTTAGTTCAGTTTAATTTATGAAATTTATTAATCATACTTTAATTTAAATTATATAAAAGACATTTTTTCTAAACACTCAATATTAATCACAATTTAATTTATATAATAAAACATTATTTGTCTAAACAATTTCATAACTAACTAAATGATGCATATTTACTGGCAATAAAAGAAGTGGGGAAGCACTAACGGTGATATCCCTTGTGATTATTATTATTTTTATTCGTATTTGTAACACTGTCTCTTGTAATTAAATATACATTATATAAACTAATAAGCTACTTAATTCTTGTTGACAGTTACGTACTACTTACAAAATATTCTTATGACAAAATGAGTTAAAAGGTATGGCCTTTTATCCGATACCCAACCTGTATTCAAACCCGATCCGGAAAATATGAACCGAAATCGAAACTGAAGTAGCGAAATATCCGATCGAATTTTGTACTGAACAATTTTGGATACCCAAATCCAATCGGATTTATCCAAAACCCAAAGCACTACCCGAAATCATCCGAACATATATATATATATATATATATATATATATATATATATACCTTAACAACCCACATCTTTCATCCTCTCTTCGTTGTAGTCGAACTCGTGTATTCGGTTACTATTCCCGATTTTCATGATTTCAAAACCAAGTCAAAAAGATATCATTCAAATTAATCAAATTGGACTCCACAAAAGCTTACTTTCTCCGGTCTCTTCTCCAACAATGACGAGGAAGACGAAATCGCATATGATCAATCTTCGAAATTTTTTCTTTTTGTTGTGTTTGGGTTAACCGATTCATGGTTAGTGATACATGGATGTTTTATGTCTTTGTTTCATGATCTAAGTTATGAATATTTGGTTTGATCATTTTGTTTTTTCTTTTGTTTTTCTGCAAAAAGCTATGCAACTTTGTAAAAAACCACAAAACCAAGAATCCAAATCCAAACTACAAATATCCAAATCCGACCCAGAATATATAAATACCCAAAAATGTTCTATATCCCTATACCGAAATACCTAAATTGATATCCAAAAACACATCCCTATTACTTAATGTGAAGAATATTTTTGGTTTGAGCTTGGCTAGGTAAATCATCAATGTTTCTATGTCATACGAAAGACCATGTAGGCAAGTTTATTTGTAGTTTTTGATAACTCTAACATGTTATATTGTTCACTAGGATATAGTTGCTAACTGTAGAACTTCATTTATAATAATATATTAGACTTTAATCCGGACGAACGCTTTTCATTTTATAAGTGCATATTTTAATATTATTGCAAATGTTTTAAATATATAATTTACATTTTAGTGTTATATATTGTGTAAATGTATAATTTATTGGTTAGGTTTCTTATTCAACGTTATTAATATATAATGGTTTGTTTTATACATTTTAATTTGTTAATAATTTTTATTACTTACTAATATATTTTGAGTAAATAACACTTAAAATAAAGGTTAGTTATATACTATTTTACTTTGTATATAATCGTTTTTAGATAATATATTGTTGTAATTTTCAAAAAAATAAATATTAGATAGTAAATAGTTGTAGATATACAAGTTCAACCTATGCTAACAATTTTATTTTTATATAATAAAATTAAATAATTTATGAATTTTAATTCTTTTAAATGGTGAATGATACTTAATTTAGTTAAATTAATATAGTTTTTTAAAAATATGTTACTTTACCAATTTAATAGAATTCATATATAATATATTACTTCTATTTTAATATAATATAGTCAACTATAATTATAAAATGTAGTAAAATATTAAAAAAAATATGAGAACCGCGTGATTATAATATTTTGCAAGATTAATGGTATAATAATATGATATATGATTTAGTCATAAAAATAATATGATATATGATGCACGTAGGTTTATTATACTTTTGATTGGTTGGTTAACTGGAATGATACAATGTTGGCTGTCAGGTTGGTTGAAAAACTGGAGACGCTATGGTCTATGTTGGTTGATTTTTTGTTTTTGTTGTTTATTCATGCTGAGAGAGAAGAAGTAGAACAGATGTTCTATCAATATAATGTTGTCATGCATATGCTACTTTATATAAATATTTGATGTGCACACATTGTAGGTCAAATATTGAGAAGAAGCTATGGTGTCCGTTGGTTGAATTGATGTTTTCGGATTTGAAGACTATGTTCTAGGTTGGTAAATTAATTTTTTTTTTAATTATTAATGCTATAGGGGGAATAAGAGAGAGAGCAGACGCTATAAAGCTTAGCTGGAAACAGAAGTCATCTTTATGGTATATTCAAAAAATATTGTAGGATATGTTGTATAATATATAATGTTGTGATGAAGAAGCATCTTTACTTTTTTATTTGATTTATAGCCACGTAGTATAGCTGTCAAGAGGTATATGAATTCCGTAACATTATTAATGCTATCGTATAGTTAGAGAAATTTAGGGTAGAAGCTAAGCATGTTCCGGATTTCGGTTTGTTTTTTTTTTGTATAAAAATTAGCTATCATATTAGAACTATAGTTTCTTTCGGTTTTTATACTATTGGCTTTCGCTTTATTCTGTTTTATATCATAAAACATTATTATTTGATTTGGTTTTATATTATATGAGTTTTAAAGATTCATGTTGTCAAAACTATCATTTATTAAAGCAATGTTGTTCATAAATAATTGAATATCAAAAAATAACAAATAAAATGATCAATGTCTCAGTTTTTTTTTTGTAGTACTTCTTGTTTTCTATGTTCTTTCAAAGAAAATTCGTACTACTATCTAATTTCTCAATTTCTTAAAGCATACAAAATCAAATTTAGATAATACTTAGAGAAAAAGAAAAGAAAATTAGTAAGACTGATATCTTGCATATTTCCATTGTTTTATCCATTCATCTATATTCATTTTGATTATATAGATCAAGATTTAGTCATTTCTAGGCTGCATTTTGCATACATGAGTCCTTATCAGTTATTGGAGTACCCTTGGAGTTCTTGGAGGTGATTGGATGCATTTGAGGCTCAAATGATGAGTTAAATATGATCATTGGACGATTAGGGCTGGAGCGACAAGCCAGAACGACCTCTAGAGTGAGACGTTATGGTCGCTCGGCCTTTGTCACTTGGTTGCACGAAAAAAGGGGCCTGAAATGACCTGCCAGAGCGACCTACCAAGGTCGCTCCCACCTTCAGAGCGACGTCCCCACAGCAACACGCCTAGGTCGCTCACATTTTGACAAATCGCGAGCAGCTGAAATGACCCTTGGAGCGACGTCTTGGAGCGATGACCATAGGTCGCTCCCAACCAGAGCGACCTTCCGGAGCGACGTGGCCAGATTGCTACGCATAGGTCGCTCCCAACCAGAGCGACCTTTCGGAGCGACGTGGCCAGATTGCTACGCATCTTTGTTTGGACAAAACTTAAGTTATTTTAGAGACCTTTTAGTCATTTGTTTTATGGTTTTACATTTTCTAAAACTAAGTTAAGTACCTCTGTAAGCCTACCAGGCAAATTATCTTTTTTCATTTTTGAAGAGAAAACACAAAATTTTTTTGGAAAGTTCGTTTCTTTGAATCCTTCTTGATTGTTCTTATGATCCTGTTTTATTTGATTGCATTATCTACTTATTTATATGATTACGCTTGAATCCAATATGGGGTTGAGAGGAATCATGAAGATTAGTGAGTAATCCACCCTTTAATTCATGGGATATGGAGATTAAGGGTGACTAGACTAG